CCTTGCCCTACTGATTCTACTGCCCCAGGTCCAAGTCTCTCCAGTTAGGAGCCCCAGCTCTCCAGAACAGTAACAGATCCTTTAGCTCGCTTTTATTATTTTATTTTTTAAAAATTAATTATTATTACATTTTCTCCCCCCTTGTTTGTTTTCTGCACATCTTCAGGAAGCCCTCGGTGTTTGTGCAAAGAGAAGCTCCTATTGCAACCTCCCTCCCTGCGCTGTGCGCCTCGGTGTAAACATTTTGGATGATCTAAAGACTCTGGGGTCTGTATATGGAAATAGTGGGGTGCAGAGCAGAAGAAAATACTTGTCCTTTCCGTCCCCCAGCCATGCTTTTCCACGGGATCTCCGGAGGCCATATCCAAGGAATCATGGAGGAGATGGAGAGGCGATCCAAGACCGAGTCCCGCCTGGCCAAAGGGGGACAGATGAACGGCCGAGAAACGGTAAGAAAGGAGCTGGCACTCTTTGACAGGGAACCCCGGCAAGCATGGACCCGCAGCGGGACAGACCCTGGCTCTGGGGAAGAGAAAGACGCTGGTTCCCCCTGCCCCTTCCCTGCCACCCCTTGCTTGTAGAAACCCTGCCGAGGCTCCCTGTGAACCCACCCGTAGTGCTGTGCTGGCCAGGCTCCCTTACGCACTTGTCTAATCAATGTCGTTGCGGGGGCTCTCTGGAGGAACGGGGGGAAATATTTTAAATCCCAACAGGGTCGGGTTTTCAGTCTGTACAGCGAAGCAGCCTTTTTCCCCCGCTGGGCTGGCTGCGGCCGCTCTGCCCCGTCCGAGCAGGGCTGGCTGCAGCTGGAGCTTCTGAGGTGTACGTTACTCCTTTTGCACCCCGGCACCTCCTAAATTAAACCGCAAACCGCGACCGCTTACTTTTCGTAACCATTTTTGGTCTGAACTGTGGGGCTGACACAAAGAGGCACCGCGCTCCTTGAATGTTATGCCCGCCGAAGCTTCGCTTAGCGGTAACATCTCCTCTTTTCTCAGTCAAAGGACCAAAGTCCTCACAAATGTACTGACGGATGGCGGAGAAACCGAGTGTCACGCTGCGGCTTGTGCACAGCGAGATCTCCCTCTCTCCAACTTGTAGGGCTTCCGCCGATCGCGCACAAGGCTCTGCACACAACGTAACGGCCTGGAAAACTGCTTTAAGACTTTGAGCCATGGGGTCCTTCCCCCCTTCTCTTAAATAAACTCCCGCTTTGTTATACGAAGATTTGCAATGTAAATCCAACTCGCCTTTTCGATTGCTGCAAAAAAAAGGGGGCGAGGAACACAACTTCAGATTGGAAAATTAATGCGGAGTTGCCACTTTAAAACAGTTGCGAGTTTCGAACAAGATGTTCGGGATTCCCCCCCCCCCCCCCCCAAAAACCGCCCCCGTTACTTTATCAGCAAACGCTGCCCCAAGTTTCACGGCAGAGCTTTTGTCTCCGCCGTCCCCCCGTCTCCCTTTGTCCCGAGCGACACTCCTCGTGGGGAGCAGATTAACGGGAACTTGCCGAAGTTTGCTGACGAAAAGATGCTAGTTTTAGCTCAAACCAGCCTCTGCCACCTTCCCCTCCACGTCCCTGGCCGGGGTGGGGAGCGTTCACGCTCGCTGCTCTTTACACCATCCACCTGTCTCCTTTCTCTTTACTTCTGTTTTAAATGGCCTGCTTTGCTTGGGAGAGGGGGTTTTGGCTGGTTTAAGCATGGATGAAAATCCACCGGCAAATCGGTGCAAGCCTGCACCCTCTGCCCTAGACTTCTGATGCGGCAAAACGCTATTTTCCTACTTTAAAGGGCCGTTCTTGTGGAGCGCCCTACGATCAAAACGCCAAAGTAGCGGGGAAGCTACAGACTTCAACTTCGGGACCTCAGAAAAGAATGGGCTCTGCTTTTCTTAGTGAGGCCTAATCAGTTGCCTTCACATATTGAAATGACATTAGATTGCTCGGAGAGGCTTAATGGGATAAGCACGAAAGCTGAATCGCGGTGAACACTTTCCTAGCGGGGACGGTGCCGGTTTCCCCTCAAACTTCCCGCCGGGAGGAGAGGGCTCGGTCCCAGGGAGCAGCCCCTTTGTACCAGCCCCGGGCCCTGCGCAGGAGCCCGTCCCCAGCCCCGACTGCCTGCCTGTCTTTCTCTCCCTGTCTCATCCCCTTGTGGTGTGGTTGTTTTGCAGAACATGCCCCCAATGAGCCCCGAGAAGCCTGCTTTGTGTGCTGGTTGTGGAGGGAAGATCTCAGACAGATATTACCTGCTGGCTGTTGACAAACAATGGCACCTCAGGTGTCTTAAGTGCTGTGAATGTAAACTGGCTTTGGAGTCAGAACTCACCTGCTTTGCCAAGGACGGCAGTATTTACTGCAAGGAGGATTACTACAGGTACAGCAATCAGTCCCCATGGGTTCAAAAGCACATCCCCTCAAAAGGCATTACGAACCGAAACGCTCTTTTCTCCTCATGGGCTTTCAAAGGTAGCTTTTCGCAGTCAGCGATTCCTTAATCCCGTAAAAGTGTCCCCTCCGAAAAGTCTCGCACGTTTAAAAAACGGAACGGATCGACAGGGGACACGCCGGCTGAGCTTGTGTGGCGGCACACAAACAGGCGAAGGAGAAGACCTCGGGTCTCCCGCTGCTCTGCGGTTTCCCTCCGTAAATACCACCGTAAGACCCAACCAAAGTTTCCCTCTGCCCGTAGCTTCCCGCTTTTTCCGCGCCCGGGGGCTGGGGCGGCGG